CGTCGCGGCCGCAGGTCCTGAAGGTCGGCGCCGCGCGGGGCCCGCGCCTGCGTGGAGATGCAGCTGAAGGACATCTGGCGCGCGCTCGTGGTCTGGGTGGAGGGCCCGCGCGGAGCCTCCCCGCTGCCGACGCGCAGGGAGGCGTGTCCTGGCACCCCGGCGGGCTGCCCCGGCGGCGGCGGCCGAGGCCGCGCTCGCGCCCGCCCCGGCGGGCGACTTTGCAGGATGGGCGCGCTCGGTGCTTCGATCCCAGACCTCCTGGCGTCGCGAAAAAATCACGACGGGAGGTTTTTCGTTATTTTCGGCCTCCGGGGGCCCTCACCGGGCCTCGGGAGCGTCAAAAAACGACTCGGGACGAAGAACCGGTCCCGGGGAAGGGGTCCAGACCTCTGGGGGTCGACGTCGTGAAAAAATCACGACGTCGGGGGTCTGGGCCCCGTGGCCGAGCTGGAGCTGGAGGCGACCTCGGCGCGCCGCGGCCCGGGCGGGGGCCGCGGCGTCGAGCTCGTTCACAGAAGCCCCGGGGGGGCCCCCGCGGCCCCGCGAGCGTGGGCTATCGACGCCCGGTAGGGCCAGCCGCGTTCCCAGGCCCCAAACGTCGTGATTTTTTCACAGCGTCGACCCCAAGAGGTCTGGACCCCTTCCCCGGGACCGGTTCTTCATCCCGAGTCGTTTTTTGACGGTCTCGAGGCCCGGCGAGGGCCCCGAGGGGCCGAAAATAGCGAAAAACTTCCCGTCGTGATTTTTTCACGACGCCAGGAGGTCTGGGTTGCTGGCGCGGCCTTCGGCGCCGGGGGCTCGCGAAGCCAGGCTCCGAGGCCGGGCGGGCGAGCGGGCGAGGTCGCCGCGTTCGCCGGGCGTCCGAGCCTCAGCTGGGGCCGGCCGTCTCGGAGGCACCGTCGTTGCAGAAGCGCGCGCTGGACGATTGGATTGGGCTTGCCGTTCGGGCGGGCCCCATCTGCGTTTGGTCCGACGGAGCCTTGGAGGGCGAGGTGGCCCAGCGCCGTCGGCAAGACGCGGCCGCCCGCGCGATGGATGGGAGATCCTTCTTTGCCGCCGCCCTCGGCGGATGCGGGCGCGTCGCGCACCGTTTGATCCAGGGGGCAGGGCGGAAGCCCCGCCGTTTGCGCAGCCTCGGGAAACGAAGCGGGTCTCGGCCAGGTGGGCTCAGCGGCCGCGGAGGCGATCCTCGACGAGCGGTTGGCAATCTCGGACAGGCCGTCGCGGTCGTCGGAGCCTCCGGCTGAAGAGTGGGACGACCCCGCCCCCTTGCCCCCCACCACCGTCGACCAGGTGCTGGAGGTGGCCAGGGGGCCCCCGAAGGTCACGGGCCTCAGGTGGGACAACTACCACCCGAGGGGCCTGCTGCTGTTGAGTGCCGAGCTGCAGCAAGCCTCCGTCAACTTGTTGAATTTCTGGGAGGCGCGCCCCAGCGCGCCCAGCCTGCGGCTTACCATGGTGGTCTTTTTTGCCGAAGCCGCCGCCCCTGTTAGGCCGCCCCCCCACGGGGTTCCTCTGCAGGTGGGGGCGCGCCTGGAGCCGGGCGCGCCAGCAGGAGGTCATGAAGTGGGAGCTGGCCGCCGACCAGCGCTTTGTCTGGGGCAAGAGCTCGGACACTGCGGCGGATCGTGCAGCGTGCGTCCACAATTTGCTGGTAGTGCGCGCTTGCAGGCGGGGCATGAGCAGCGGCTCTGTCATTCTCGGCAGTGGTCGGTTTTACGAGAACGCGTCGCACGGGGCGCTCAAGGAGTGCGCCCGGTACTTCGGCTTCAATGGCGGCCTCCTCCGCCCCCTCTGCACCCTCAACCGCGGGCCGCGCCGCGTCCGCTGGCTGGCCGCCTCTTCTCGTTCCATCCCCCCCAACGGGACAGTCGTCGCAGGAGGTTCTTGCGCAGCAGGAATATTGTCAAACTGCTGACCCTTTGCGTCTTGAAGGAAGTGGCCCTCCAGGCTCCGGCCAACGTCGTCGACGACGTCGAGCTGCGTGCGGTCGGCGGGGTAAGAACGATGGCCGAGCAGCTTGCGCGGGCGGTCAGGTTGATAATGGATGGCCAGCAGCAGCCGGAGCTCCCAATCAACGTCAGCAAGACGTGTTGGATGGTGTCGGATAACCAGCTGTTGGACGCTCTTGTGGGGGACCCTTCCTGGTCGCTCGGGCTTGAGATTTCATCCGACTCTCGCCAGGACTTGGGCGGAGATGCAGGTGGCGGCAGCCATCGCCGCCTGCCTATGCAGCGTGGGAGGGTAGCCAGCGCTCTCGCTTCCTCCGCTCGCCTTCGCAACCGCGGCCAGGGGCGCGAAGCCTCTCGAGTTTTCGCGGGCCGGCCCCGCTGCGAAGGCGGCGCGGGGCGCAGCCATCCAGGGGTTGTCTAGCGCGTCGCTTCGCGCTCTTCGCGTCGCGGCGGCCAGGGACACGGGGCCCGTGCAACCGAGCTCGCTGTTGGGCTTCGCTCTTTTGTCCAGCGCCCACTGGAGCAGCGACCCCTTGGTGCACGCTGCAGCTTCGGCGGCCAAGTGTTCTGCGCCCGCCTGGCGGCACCAATATGTCTCGAGAGAATGGTTGCAGAGCGCCTTCGACGATGCCGTTGCCGCCCCCAACAACAAACCCAGATATCCAACGTCTCGATTTTTTCGAGACGCGGGCCCCCGACATCCCGACAACTTCCCTGGGACCGGTTTTTCATCCCGAGTCGTTTTTTGACGGTCCCGTGGCCCGGCGAGGGCCCCGCGAGGCCAAAAACTATGAAAAACCTCAGTGTCGACTTTTTCGAGACGCGCGATGTCTGGGAACGCCCATGGGGCGCGGTCAAGCAGCCAGCGGCAGCCCCACCCTTCGGCGGACTGGATGGGACCTCGACGCTGCTATAGGAGTGGCAGCGCCGACAGATCGGGCAGGCGGTGGCCGCTCGACCGCTTCGTGTCGCTGCGCCACAAGCGGGAGTGCTGGGGCGCAGTAGTGGCCGAGGAAGTGGGTCGTCAGGCGTCCGCCGGCAAATGGTCAAACCCCATTCCCAGACCTCCTGGCGTCGTGAAAAATCACGACGGGAGGTTTTTGATTATTTTCGGCCTCCGGGGGCTTTCCCCGGGCCGCGGGAGCGTCAAAAAACGACTCAGGACGAAGAACCGGCCCCGGGGAAGGGGTCCAGACCTCTGGGGGTCGACGTCATGAAAAAATCACGACGTCGGGGGTCTGGGAAGTGGGTCGTCAGGCGTCCGCCAGCGAATGGTCAAACCCCGTTTGCCCCCGCTCCGCCTTCGGTTTGTTTCTTAGAAGAGCTGCGGATGGCTGGGCCAGCCACCGCGAAAGTGTGCCCCAGGGTCTCCTGGCCAATCTCAACTGGCGCCCAGAGCGTTTCGCGGCGAAGTGCGACGAGATTCGCCCTGAGTGCCTCGACTGCGGGGCCAGAGGCAGCCCGTTCCACCGTAGGTTCGACTGCCCACGCGCGGTGGCCTGGCGCCGAGACGACATCTCCCCCTTCGTCTCGGGGGCGGCGGAATGCGCGGCCCGTCCCAGTCCCAGGGCCCTGGAGTTTTTCGCCAGAGGGTTATTCCCCGACCCGGCGGCCTGGTTCCCTCGCAGTGCTCCAGGCCCCTCCTCGCGCTACCCCAGACCCCCGACGTCGTGATTTTTTCACAACGTCGACCCCGAGTGGTCTGGACCCCTTGCCCGGGGCCGGCTTTGCATCCCGAGTCGTTTTCTGACGTTCCCGAGGCCCGGGAGGGGCCCCCGGAGGCCGAAAATTACGAAAAACCTCCCGTCGCGATTGGTTGCACGACGCGAGGAGGCCTGGGAGAGGCTCCTGGCGACAAGCAGAGGCAGGGTGCTCTGGGAGAGCCCGAAGGTTGCGAAAGCCCGCCCGTCGTGAGTTTTTCGCGACGCGAGGAGGTCTGGGAGGAGCCCCGCGGGCAGAGTTGGCCCCGGGGAGGAGGAGGAGGAGGAGGAGGAGGAGGAGGAGGAGGAGGAGGAGGAGGAGGAGGAGGAGGAGGAGGAGGAGGAGGAAGAGGAAGAGGAAGAGGAGGGGGAGGAGGAGGAGGGGGAGGGAGGAGGCCTGGGAAGAAAATGTGTGGGGGTGGCGGGGTGGTCGGTAGTGATCGCGCGGGGGGGCGGGAACGTGCTCCCCTGAGATCCGACGCTCCCCCAAAAAATTGGGGCAGGCGGATCTTGGCAGCTTTCGGCCTCGGGGGCCCTCGCCGGGCCTCGGGGGCGTCAGAAAACGACTCGGGACGGAAGACCGGTCCCGGAGAAGCGGTCCAGACCTCCTGGGTCCACGCCCTGACTCCTCCTCCTCCTCCTCCTCCTCCTCGCCGTTCCCAGTTCTTCCTCCTCCTCCTCCTCCTCCTCCTCCTCCTCCTCACCGTCCTCCTCCTCCTCCTCCTCCTCCTCCTCCCCCGTCTTCTTCTGCCCCACCTCTACCTCCACCTTCTCCTCTATCTTCATAATTCTCACTTTTGGCACTCGTATTCTTCTTATTTGTATTAGTCTTGCTACCATTGTTACTGTATTTCGTGATTATCTTCTCAGTTGCATTATTAGTATTATTCTTATTTACTTTCGTATAACTAACATTGTGCTGCTTATGCTTATTGTTATTCGTATGCTTCGTCTGTTGATTATTCTCCTCCTCCTCCTCCTTGTCCTCCTCCTCCTCCTCCTCCTCCTCCTCCTCACCGTCCTCCTCCTCTCCTCCTCCTCCTCCTCCTCCTCGTCCTCCTCCTCCTCCTCCTCCTCCTCCTCCTCCTCCTCCTCCCCCTCCTCCCTCCCTCCTCCCTTCCTCCTCGACCTTTTTCCCCTCGACCCTCCCGCCCTTCTGTCCTCTCTCCTCCCCGCCCCTCCTGGGAGGTCCGCGCGGATTTTTCGGATCGGCGTTGGACCCCCCTCCCCGGCGGAACGCGCCAGGAGCGGCGCCGGAGGCGCCGCCAGGGGGGCCCCAGTGCCGATCCAGGGAACCCGCGCGGACCTCAGAGCTCGTATGTTTGCGTACATGCTAGTTCCCCTCGAGGACGCACAGCGCGAGTTGGCCGATGTGAAGAGGCGGCTGGCCAGCGAGGCCACCAAGCACCAGTCCCGTCGTCGTCGCCGTCGCCACCGCTGTCGCCGTCGCTCACCATCGCCGTCGCCGCCGCCGCCGGCGCCGTCGCCGCCGCCGCCGGCGTCGTCGTCGTCGTTGTCGTCGTCGTCGTCGCCGTCCTCGTCCTCGTCCTCTTCCTCGATGTCGTCGTCCTCGTCGGCTGCTTGCCAGCGAGTCCGCCAAGCACCAGTCCCGTCGCCGTCGCCGTCGCCGTCGCCGTCGTGAACGTCGTCCTCCTCCTCCTCCTCGTTGTCGCCGTCGCCGTCGCCGTCGCCGTCGCCGTCCTCGTTGTCTTCGTCGTTGCCGTCGTCGTTGCCGTCGTCGCCGGCCTCGTCCTCGCCCTCCTCGCCGTCGTCGGGCGGGCTGGCCGGCGAGGCGGCCAAGCACCAGTCCCACGCCGCGGCGCTGGAGGCGAGCGCCAAGGCGCTGCAGGCCCAGGCAGCACCGCCGGCCGACCCCCAGCGGGCAGCGGCCGAGCCAGCCTTCGGCCTTCGCTGGTTCTCGGGCGGGGTGGCCCCGTCGTCGTCGTTGTCGCCGCCGCCGTTGTCGCCGCCGTCGCAGTCGTCGTCGTCGTCGTCGTCGTCGTCGTCGTCGTCGTCGTCGTCGTCGTCGTCGTCGTCGTCGTCGTCGTCGTCGTCGTCGCCGCCGCCGCCGTCGCCGCCGCCGCCGCCGCCGTCGTCGTCGTCCAACGGGGACGAGGGACCCAGACCTCGGAAACGAGATCAACGGGGACGAGGGACCTCGTCCCTCGTCCCTCGTCCAACGGGGACGAGGGACCCAGCCCATCGAGAAACTCGCCGGCGGAGGCTTCTGCCGGTGTGCGGCCTCTGCGTGGCCTCGCCGGGCCCCGGGGGCTGCCACGAGGCGGCTCGGGTGGAGGAGCCGGCCCCCGGGGGGAGGAGGCCCAGACCTCCGGGAGCCCCGTCCTTGCGACGCGCAAGGCGTTGGACGTCTGAGCAGGACGAGGACAGATCGTTGCCGAGCCTTCCATCGGGGGAGCGTAAGACCCGGGTTTGCCAGGACGCGGGTTCGCCACCGTGTTTTTTGACGACCGCGCCTCGGGTTTTGACGGGGAGGAGTTTCGTGGGAGGTCCTGCAGCGGGAGGCCTCGTCAAGGTGCAGGCTCGGCCTCGTCCAAGTGCATTTCCGAGTCCCCTGTACCCGGGTCTTACTCAGGAGGGGAAAAAACACACAGACACAATTAATCGTCGATTCCCAAGAAAATATGGGAACATATGGGCATTGGGGGGGAAGACAAAAACCCAGAAAATATAGGAAAATATGGGGGATCTTTTTATTTGTGTGTATTTATTTGTGTGTCCCAGGGCCCCTTCTTTTACGTCCCCCTGATTCCAGGCCGCTCAGAGTGTTCCGCGGCGCTCGGGGACGGCCTCGGCGCCCGATGCATCCTCCGGAGCCGCCGGCTCTCAGAGATCCCCGAGGCAGCGGTTTCGAACCAAGCATTCGGGGGTGGACAGAACCCCCAACAGTGACACGTCGATTAGCGAATTGTCTGTTTTCGGTTCTCGAGAGGGCGCCGCGGCCGTTATTTTCCAGGCTTGCGCCCGCCAGGTTTGGGCCGCAGGTCGTTTTCACTAAACCACGTTTTACTAAAGGGGGGTCTGTCCATCCCCGAAGCATCTCGAACCAAGCGAGTCGGTCACCCTCGGGCGCGGTCGGAAGATCTCGGGCGCCAGTCTGGACCACATCCGGCCACACTCGGCAGATGCTCGAGCAGAGTTTCGGCCGCGGCGCCTCCCTGATAGAGATGAGGCCACGCCACGATTTGCGGTGGGTTCACGCGGCGTTGGCACGCCAGCGACGCCGGCAGAGCCGTTCTTGGCTGAAGTCTGTGACGCGGAGGCACCAAGGGCACAGTAGCGCCACAGGACCCGACGGAGTCCAACCTCGAACGATCGGGGCCGCGATCGGTTCAAGGTTGAGCGATCGATGCGGTGTCAAAAATCTCTGCGCGCGCAAGCGCCGCACGAACCTACCCAGACCCCCGACGTCATGATTTTCTCACAACGACGACCCCCAGAATGAGGAGGAGCAGGAGCAGGAGCAGGAGCAGGAGGAGCAGGACCAGGAGCAGGACCAGGACCAGGACCAGGACCAGGACCAGGACTAGGACCAGGAGGAGGAGGAGGAGGAGGAGGAGGAGGAGGAGGAGGAGGAGGAGGAGGAGGAGGAGGCGGGGGAGGGGGAGGGGGGGGGGGAGGAGGGAGGACGAGGGGGGAGTACGAGGATGGGGGAGGAGGAGGAGAAGGAGGGGGAAGAAGAGGAGGAGGAGGAGGTAAGAGGAAGAGGAGGAGGAGGAGGAGGAGGAGGAGGAGGAGGACGAGGAGGAGGAGGAGGAGGAGGAGGAGGAGGAGGACAGGAGGAGGAGGAGAGGAGGAGGAGGAGGAGGGGGAGGGGACAGGAGGAGGAGGAGGAGGAGGAGGAGGAGGAGGAGGAGGGGAGGAGGAGGAGGAGGAGGATGGTGGAGGAGCAGGGTGAGGAGGAGGAACGACGAGGGGGGAGGACGAAGATGGGTACAACATGAGGAGGAGGAGGAGGAGGAGGAGGAGGAGGGGAGGAGGGGAGAGGAGGAGGTGGGAGGAGGAGGAGGAGGAGGAGGGGAGGAGGAGGAGGTGGAGAGGAAGGAAGGAGGGAGGAGGTGGAGGAGGAGGAGGAGGAGGAGGGAGGAGGAGCAGGAAGAGGGTGGGGGGAGGAGGAGAGGAGCAGGAGGAGGAGGAGGGAGTATGAGGAGGAGGAGGAGGAGGAGGAGGAGGAGGAGGAGGAGGGTGAGGGAGGAGAGGGTACGAGGACGGGTATGAGGACGAGAACGAGGAGGAGGAGGAGGAGGGACGAGGATGGGAATGAGGACGAGGACGAGGAGGAGGGAGGAGGAGGAGGAAGAGGAGGAGGAGGAGGAGGAGGGGAGGGTGAGGAGGAGGAGGAGGAGGAGGAGGAAGGAGGAGGAGGAGGAGGAGGGAGGACGAAATATGGGATGCGGACGAGACGAGGTGGAGGAGGAGGGTGAGGAGGAGGAGGAGGGAGGAGGAGGAGGAGGAGGAGGAGAGAAGGAGGAGGAGAGTGACGGAGGGAGAAGTGTCAGGAACAGGAAGAAGAGGAGGAGGATGAGGAGGAGGAGGAGGAAGACGAGGATGGGAATGAGGAATCTGATGGAAATGAGGAAGGTAATGGGACTGAGGACGAGGACGAGGACGATGGCGAGGCGGAGGAGGAGGAGGAGGAGGAGGAGGAGGAGGAGGAGGAGGAAGACAAGGAGGAGGAGGAGGAGGAGGAGAAGGAGGAGAAGGAGGGTGAGGAGGAGGAGGTGGAGAAAGACGAAGACGGGAATGAGGACGATGACGAGGAGGAGGAAGATGATGATGATGATGATGATGATGATGATGATGATGATGATGATGATGATGATGATGATGATGATGATGATGATGATGATGATGATGATGATGATGATGATGA